ACTGATTATGTCTACATCTTGTTTCCTCTTTTTGTCTTTGATATTATGCAATAAGGTGGATCTCCTTTTCTCGATTTCATGGACGGTGGGTGCAATTTCTAGTTGGGGTTGATGACGATTTTGACATCTGGGTAGGAGCGAAAAAATTGTTAGGACGAGAATATTTTAGTGTTTTCATTTTCTAGATACTAATGTTAAATAAAATAATTTTTCGATTCTATTAACATATTAAATAATTTTTAAATTTGATATTCATTTCCACCTCTATTTCCTTTCTATTTACATTGTACAAAAGGGACAATAGTCATGTCTTAAATGGTTTGTTGGGCACAGAATGGGAATGGGAAAAAGATTAGGAGTGGGAAAACTCTCTTCCTGTAAAGCAAATTTTTAAATACTTTCCCCTCAACTCTCTCCTTTTTAATTATCACATCCCTTTGCAACTAACGATAATAAAAATAACAGTGGGCCGAATTGATTGATTAGGTTTGGAGTCTCTTTCTTTGGTCACTGTCCCACACCTCATCTTGATTGGTCATTTTTGGTATGGCAGGTGATGATAGAAAAATGGAAGAGAATCGTATCCTTGTTACCCACAAAAGCAACAAATTTATATGCAAAAAAATATAATCGATGAATGCATATTTTAATTTTACTTGAATATGTTCCACCTTTCGGCTTTGAATAAACCTTTTCACAGTCACTAACACGCAGCCGACACACCCAGTCAATAATTGTGATTCCCGCTTCAGTGTATCGTACAGTTATAATCGCTAATCCGGAAATAAAGTTAACACACACTCTCTCTGATCCTTGTTCTTTTTCCTCTCCCTTTTCTAGCTAAGCACCGCACCAAATTAATTTCATTTCTTCTCAATCATATACAAATTAAACCCAACCATCTTGATCTTAATTTGATATCACAAATACATGTGTGTGTTTTTTTTATATATAAAAGTAATCAAGAAGAAAAAAATGTTTGTTTAACCAGCACTAACTGTTAACTAACAGTGCAATCACATGTAATATGTGTCTAGCACAGCTTGCTATAAAATTGACTTTTCGTGCAAAAAATTAGACATGTGCCTATATAACTTATGATAACACAATTAGAGGATCATTTCATTAGTTGGACTTGAAAATTTTTTAGCAATAGATATCTAGTTAGCAAGCCACATAACATTTTAGAATACACGATGTCACGTGTTTGGGTTAAAAAAACACAGTAAATACCAAATTGCTTCGCATTATTAAATTTTTGTTCCCATGCGGCAGGACGCGCGATAAGAGATTAACTAAGGATGCATGATTTTTTTTTTATTGGCCAAAATAACTAAGGATGTTGACTTCATTTAAAAAAAAAAACGTTTTATTCTTTGTGCACTTGATTAGCTCGGTAGTATCAAATTTTTCACTTATCGTTAATATTGTTTTACTTCCGGACGACTCAATTTAAGAAATTTTTTTTTATTCATTCTTCGAGAAATATTCAAATTCCATTATCATTTTTTTATAACCTCGATTTCTATTATCATTAATTTGCGGAACTAAGAATATCGGATATTTAGAAACGCTGCATGAATAACTTTTCATAGCAATAAATCAATTGCGATTACATTTATTTTAATTAAAATATTCACGTGCTTTTACTTATTCAGCATTATTTTTTTGAAAAAAAATATTTATATAGCATTATATATATTTTAAATATGCACCAGATCAATTAAAGAAAATAAATTCTTAAATTTAAAAAAAAGATAATATCAAAAGCAACATTTTTAATCAATTTTTATTTAATAAAAGAATACAGTGCTATGCGTATTCGTGCAGATACTATAGTCATGTTTTGTTTTAATTTATCGAAATAGACACACCATATTGACTTCATTTGCTTGCGTGTGTTGCATTTTTTTTACCCTGCGGGACTGAGATACCAAGAGCATCATCGGTCCAGTAATAGGAATTAATCTTACTGTTTGTAAGGTAAAACGTCAATCCCTTGTAATTAAGTTTGTTCGCTGTATAAGTTTGATACTCCCTCAAGACCTTTTTGTAAAGAATAAATGAGCATTTTTAATTTACTGGAATTTAGATATAAAGAACAACTACCCATAATCTCTTGTGTTTATTTTAGAATTTGTTTACCCTTATGTCAAGTTATAAAAAAGAAAAAAATGGGAATACAAATCACTTGTGCTCTGAGTATTTTTTACATGGCATGAGATTTAAGGCCCAACGACAACAAGGGACACGGTAAAAGGACTTTTATAATTTTAGTGCTTTTTGGTAGTTTGATCAATCAAACTACTTTTTGTTTTTCATTACCTCTTGGGTCTTAACCAATGGTTGGCCCAACTTCTTTAGGATTCACACCGCTCACCACACACACACAAGTTTGATCTTCATTTTTTAATTATTTTTTTTGGCCTGATTAATTTTTGAATGGGAAAATTGGCTACTGGTCAAAAAAGAAAAAAAATCTTATATCTAAAAAATATGAATCAAATTTTTAAAAATTTGAGAGTATTGTTGATTCATATTAATATAAAAGGGTTTTATCAATAAAAATTTACAAAAAGTTTATTATTAATATACAACACAAATACAATAAATAAGTTATAATACAAAATATAATAGTGCTGGATTGTTTATTTGGTTTAGTCTAGGTTATATATGCAAAAGCTCCCTTTTTAATTTAATGACGAAACAAGATTGCCTTCAAAGAAGACACGCATGCACAATAAAAAAGAACCGAAATGGAATTAATTAAAAATTTTAAAATAAAAATAAACTAAATTAACCTTCTCTTTTACGATAGATAAAACTTATTAGTATATACAACAAATATGAAAATTATTATATTTGTTAAAAATTTCATGAATTATGATTCTCAACTCTATAAATTAAATTTTTTTTTATGAACGTGCTCACCTATTTATTTTGATCATTTTATTTTTACCTTTATTTCTTTAATTAGTTATATTATATTCCTAAGCAAACAAGAGCTAAATCTCGCTCTGGTGATCGTGTCAGGACGAGTACATTGCTATTTTTCTAAGGGAGAATTTTATCATGGGACATGGATGTAATATTATTATAAATAAGACTCAATTAAATTTAAAATTTCACTGCAGGATAGAAAAGTGAAATGAAATAATTTTTTTTTTGTTAAATAACCATAGTGCCCTTGATAGAAATGAAAAAAGAGAACGTGATTCATTGTTTAACATAATTTGTTAAATCTATTACATTACTTATAAATTTATCAGGCCCGATTAAAAGTAATTTGTCAAACCATTATCTTAACTCATTAAAAATGTTACATTAATTGTTAAGTAAGGAAATGAACAAGTAATGTAATAATTTTAATAAGATAAGGTTTACTAAATTACCTAATAAATTCACAAGTAATGTAAGGGATTTAGCAAGTTACATTATGCATTTAACAAGTCACGTTAAATAATTATTCACTTTTTTCATTTTCTTTTCTATATAAGGCACCTTGATCATTTAAGGAAGAAAATTTATTTTATTTTAGTTTTCCTACCTTGCACTGAAATTTCAGATTTGATTGGGCCCTAGCTGTAATAATACTATATCCAGGGTCCTATAATGGAATTCTCCCTTTTTCTTTACACTAACGTTTGTTGTTCTTCTTTTTTTGAACAAAACTAACATCTGTTATTCGATCCAATGTATTATCTAACCTAGTGCTAGTCTACATCCCACCCCCCACCCCCAAAAAAAAAGGGTCATATTTTTTCCCCGACTTCTTGTTTATAATTTTTCGCGTTGTCACAAAAAGGTCATATTAGTGCTATATATCAAGGTTTTAAGACCCGGACCGACCCGGACGGTCGGACCGTCGCCCGCTGAAGAAAACGGGCTGGTTCAACCAATTAACTCGGATTAGCAGTTGGCCCGGGTTGGCCCGCCTAGAACCGGACGGTTTTTAAAGACCTAGGAAAAACCCGAACCCAGAGCGGGTTTTACGGGTCAACAGCGGGTCGCAAAAAAAATGACAAAATTGATATTTTTAAAAATAAAAAACCCTTCTCCTCACTCTGTCTAGCAGACCAACACCTATAAGGACCCATTCTTCTTCTTTTTAGTCTCACTTCTTTCTGTCTTGCACAATGCACGCACTCATTCTCGTCACCTTCTCAAATCTCAGCCATCTGGGTTTTATTCTATGTGTCATCTCCCTCAAGCCACTCAGCCTTCTAGGTTCTGTCTTCACCGTTCAGCCATCTTGGACTTGCCTTCTCAACATTTGGGTTCTATGTTCACCCTTCGTTGTCTTCACCATTTAACTTTAGCCATCTCAAACTCTCTCAAACTTCAAATGCTTCTTTATTCTTCATCTTCACTTCACTTTCTTCATTTTGGTTTGTGACTTCGTGTTCTTGGTTAATTCTAGTATAGGCATCCAGTTGTTGAAAGCAGTCAGATGGCGTCGAGCTCGACCCCTTTCATGATTCTTCATCTTCTTTGTTGATTGCTCTCTCTCTCTCTCTCTTAGTCCCGGTGAGATTTTCTTTCTCCCTCATTTATATCTCTACCCAATTTAATGTAATCTCTATGGTTCTAAATGGAGTAAAATGAATGCTAATAGATGAGCTTGCTTTTTATTATCTGAGCTGTTTATTGCAAAATGAAGGATTGTTGAATGGATGAAGATGAATTTATTTTTTATTGTCTAAGAGTTGTTTATTGCAAATAGAAGTTTTATTTTTTTCAAATAATTATGTCTAAATCTTGATACATTCAAGAATCTAGTGTTGGATTTGTTAACTTGTTTCTTTTATATATATAGATATATAAATAATTTTTTATTTAATTATTAGGTCACCGGTCCAACCGCCGGTTTGACCGGTTGAACCATGAGACTCGTGACCCATTGATATTTCCGGTTCGCTGTCGGTCCGGGTTTTAAAACATTGCTATATACGTGCTAAGAATCTCTTGAAGACTTGAATTTACAAAATCATACAATACTATTTATATATACATATACATAAGTTGAAAGCATACATAGACTACACTTCATGCAAACATAAGGGCCTAAGTTGAACTAATAATTAAATTACGAAAGTCTTCTGGTGAAGGTGGCACACCTTGATTGATTTGGCGGATACAATAACTAGAAACACATAAAATTGAAATTACAAACTTATTCATATTCTACAAACGGTAAATGCACAGGTGCATATTTCTTTTTTTTTTTTTGACCAGCCACGGAGAGGTGCATATTCAAAACCAACCCAGACGGAGCATCCATTCACCGTTGTCGTTAGTGAGTTTGCCCAAATTAAAGCATCCACCCAGGCACGAATCCATGAAGATTCAATGCTGCGCATCCAACATGTACATCCTCTCCTCCCACCTGATTATATCTGCATTAATTCCACAAAACACACGCTTTATATTACTATATAATCTTACTAAACCAAGACTATATGTCAAGTATCAGAAAGAGCGTGGATTAAAATAAAAAAAAAAAGTATATACCCGATTTGCAAATTGGGATTGACTCCCAAAGGCTGAAAAAATGCTTCAGATTGAGCAGAAAAGCGAGTGCAATGGATCGTCTCAGACCCTCCTGCACCTTCCCAACCCATTCTGAGAGGAACTTGCGACTCGCTTCCTTCTACTAACTGTGTCTCAATGATTCAACCATATCACATTTGGGCGAAATTTGCACATGACCCTTTTGTTCAAAACAAGGTGTGTGTTTGCGAGTGAACATTTCGATTGTCTCATTATTAGTGACAGAACCCAGTTGTATAGTGATTATTCATTTCAATTTTGAATCAAACGAACATGCAGTCTTTGCTGATGAGAATATAATTCATGTTTACCTTACTCCTCAAAGCTCTGTTAGTTTCCTCCAGCACTTTCTCCTGCATATGCACTTAGTCAATTAGTGTATGATATTATTTTATTTTATTTTATTTTTTTGCTATCTGAGAATGAATATAGCTGGTATCACACTGTCGACATCGGAAAGGAAACATTTTCGGAGAAAATGATACCAACCCGGTTCTGAAGATCCGCAAGCTGGTCGAGCATATACTGAGTCTGACAAACAATTAAAAAATATAAGCCCAACAACGATATCACGTTGATATTAAAAGTTAATAAGGCAAGAACGAGAACACATTGCAGACATTTGGAAAGGCATGCGTGCTGCTTGAAAGTCTTGTGTGTTACATAAATCTGAGTCTTGATGATCCGCAGAAACTCTAGAACTTTGATATTTAATTAATCTAATCTAAATCAAATAAAAATGTGAACTTGCATTTTCAATTTTATTCCAAGACACCTATTTGTATTAAATGACACCAGAGATTAGCCGATAATCAGCAGAAAAGTTTAAGATCTAAAATACGTACGCTTAAACGTTGTCTACAATCGTAGAAGATAGAACTAAACATATATCGGACAAGAAAGTTGTCACTTTTACTTTTACACGCAACCAAAGTCACATATTCTTGTGCACTGTCATATCAAGAATTGAGACTACCAAAAGCCTGTCTTTTGTTCCGTATTTTAAATGTTGAGATACGAATAATTTTGACGTTAATGTGTTGAGTGTTGACAGCTTATCACCTCTATAAAAGGAGAGGACAACAAAAGGATTTAAAACACCTGCTGTTCTATAGTTGAAATCGAAATTAATGCCTATATACCTTTGTGGACCTGATGTTCTTCAGTGCTGCCTCAACTTGATTCTCAAGCTGTTCTAGTTCCTTTGTATTCATTTGGGCCAGATCTTCCCCAAGAAGGTTCCTTTATATGTACATATTAGGATTACTGTATAGTTGACGCATGAATTGAAAACTTAAACATGGACACATATGATAAATACAACATTATATAGAGAGAGGGTGGAAAAGAGAGAGAGAGAGGGTGGAAAAAGGGGAGAGAGGGAGTATAGTTACCTCTGTGAACGTTGCAGGACTTCAACCCTTGCTTTAAGTCTCAAGTATTCCTGGTAGCTACTCTGCTAAATGACCCTTTTGATATCAGATTATTTTGGTTTGTAATTAACGTATAGTTACTTCAGCCTGATTGTTTAACTCAAACGCTCTTGCATAAACTTAAAACATTATACATATGCACACTTCTATAAAGAATCAAGTTGAGACACCTTTATATATATATATATATATATCTAAAGGTTGGTAATGCTTGTTCGGATATAGATGTTTTCTCAAAATAGGAGTATATCTAATGGTTGAAACTGTCTGTTATCGGACTTATTTTGAGATATTCTCACTTTAATATTTTATTAATAAATGGGAAACTCGAAGTGTATCTAATAGCTAGTCAAAACTCTAAAACCTAGTATAGCATGAGCTGGACTGCCAGATTAAGTTATGGAAGAATCAAATATAGTATACCTGAGTGTGATTCATTTGCTGGCTTGACTCTAGTGCACCATAGCTGTTCTTCTGGTACTTCTCCAGTGTGTTCATCATGCTGACATATAGGGCAACAAGCATAATATAATATACTAAGATCTTTAATCTCCCAAGGACAACTTTTAACTCTTAGAACGAAATTTTTTTTATTATTATTTCCTAATGCAAAAAAATCCCAACAAGAAGTTCAGAAAGTTCAAAAATTGACCAAAAAAAAAATCATCGAATCATGAATTTTTTAAAAGCCATGCAGCGAATGTAGAATCACTTTAAACAAAAAAACATAGAAGGTTGTCAAATATTTCTCCAAAACCATAGCATTCTTATGAGTCAAATGCCCCTACAAGTCTCTCCCTAATTAAACAGAAAGGGAAGTAGGGAAACCAATGAAGCATCTAGCCAGATGGAATACTGACTGGCATTCACAAAGGAGACCTTTTGTGTCGCACCCGAGAAAAGAAAAAAAAATGGCATGTCTAAGTTCAGCAATCAACCTAGCAAACCCCAAAGAACAAATCTAATAACCTAGCTAGTCAACATCAACAATGTTATGGAAGTTATACTTCATATACGAAATAAGATAAAATAGAAGATTTCATCGCACAAGAGCAGTGAGGAAAATCCATCACTCAGCGTCTTCTTTATGGGCTGGATTAGCCAAAAGAATAAATATATTGTTTTTGTATGTATTATTGAAAGGCTGAAAATATTTATGCACTGTATTATTATATTATCTCTGAAAATAGTGAGAAAAAATCTTCCAAAGTTTGTCTTCTTCGTAGCTCAAACCAGCTATTCCACAACGGTTTTTAAGGATTGAAGCTGATTTGCAGCTTTAGAAGTTCACTGGAATCCCTACCCCCCCCCCCCTCTTTTTTCTCTCTCCCTCAAATCAAGTCTTAAATTGCGGTGTACAGTGCAGGTTTACACATCAAACATCCCATCTCTGCCACAAAATCATAACAGTGAAATCCTGTACTCTTAATGCTAATGACTGCTCCGATGGTTATTAGGGCTAGCTCCTGCTTCGATCTCATGGGTAGAAAGAGATACCCACCTACATATCCTTTTGATAAACAACTGCAGGAAGTTATTGGAGTCTAATCTATAGCTCCTTTTTAGGGATGTCTCAAAAAATTGGAGCTCTTTGAAAAGGAGAAAACAAGAAAAGAAATGAACTTTTGCACTCTCAGGGATCTTGCCCTAGCTCGAGGTGGATGATGTATATATGAGCGCGCATGACCCTCGTCACGGAACAGACCAAGCAATGTTTACTTCCAAGTTAACGGAACTTCTTTGACACGGCCAAAAAAATAATAATAATAAAATGAAAAAACTTCTTTGGTGATACTGCTTTCTGATATTGAGGTGATAGAATGAAAAATGTTTCAGATCCTCGCATGAAGTGGTGGAAACACCACTTTCCAACTTATTGTCCTGGAGAACAAATACATGGAGGAGTAAAAACACACCACTTTTCAGTTTTTTGTTCTTCTGGAATACAAAGACAGCCAGAAGACTGGAACCTTCAAGTTCGCCCATGATACAATTTTGGGAGATGAAAAAGAAATGGCCAAAAAAAGAAGTGAGAGGCTTTTTTTTGGTTTTTTGCTTATGAGATATGGATATATCAGAACCTATATAGGTTCAGGAAAATAAAGCAGAGATCTTGCACAAAACTAAGGAGACTAGGTAATAAATACTCCATATACTAAAGAAATAAAACCCTTAACAGAAAATGCTTACTGTCCTCAGGGACGGAAACAATGACTTGAGAAACACGCAGATATATACCTGGAGCCACTGCTGAACTCATAGAGCTTGCCACGATTGGAGAAGATGATAAGCGCAACCTCAGCATCACAGAGGACAGAGAGTTCATAAGCCTTCTTGAGCAGCCCATTTCTTCTCTTGGCAAATGTGACCTGCCTATTGATTTTGTTCTCTATTCTCTTGAGTTCAACTTTCCCCCTTCCCATCTTCTTTCTTTTTCTCTTTCTATCTCTCTTTTAAAAATACAATCTTTCTCTCTTTCCAGTATCGGTTAAGGGATGAGAATACTTTCTTAAATGGTCTCGGTGTCTAGAGTACCAAAAGGGTTAAAAACAATAGTAGAGGATAAGAAATAAAAGTGGAAACCCTGAAAAGGCTCCTCCTTATTGGTTTAGACTTTGGTTTTCATCTCTGTACCACGCAATGTCACAAATATGTACATGTTTTGTTCTCTTTTAAAAAAATGTAATAAATTGGTTTTGTACTGTGTACATCTCCGGTTTCTCATAATAATCTCTATATTGAGTTTGCTTGTTATGTCTTAATATCTATTAAAGGTCAATTTAATCATTCTTTGTCCAGTGTTCCCATGCATCAGCGAGGATGAAACTGAACCAAACATGACATCTGAAATCGATTGGTGTACTTTTCTGTTGAGTCTGTCCAAATCTGGACATAAGAAAAAAATAAATTAGTTATTTGACTTAATACAGATTCAAGAAATGCATCTAGCTGGTCTTTTCAACGTAATTACTCGCTTCATTATTATGATAATGAAAATGTTTGAGCAGTAAGACTGGCTAGAAGTGAAATTTAATTGCCTTATATAATCTAAAAATAATTTATCAATATAGTGTATTACGCAACAGCGATTATAATTGTACTTCAGCACATATAGATGGATCCTACTAATAAAATGTTCTTTCCATTTTTATTCCCCACTAGCTAGTTGGATCATGTGATGTACTTATAACCGGATCGCTGAAATGCTTGGAGATCCATCTATACGTGATAATGTAAATTTTGTACATGAATGGAAAGTTGTATTCCTTATAGGAGCATTAATAAGTTGACTGAGTTCTTACTTCTTCTGTTACTAAAGAATATATTGCTATATTTTCCGTGGAATCTATTTTGATTCCTATATTAGCATGAAAGAGTACATCTTGTGAAAGTCGCTTCAGGAAGAAACGGTTTAATTTGGACAAAATCCAAACTAACTTTGAAAAAATGGACTATAAGTTATCACACAGTTGTTTAGTTAATGTCTCATAGAATATATTTACTTATTTAGTATGCAATATTGTTAGAATTTTTCAAGTGTGTGGATTTGAGTTGATGTAAGAAGTCTCAAATTGACTAAAGTTTGTTTTAATAAATAATATATACATATATAAAGACATATAGTGTAAGTATTGAGACTTTGAATTATATCAATCAATTGTTTCATTAAACTTGAGAAATTAAATGATTCATTATTTGTTAATAACAATTATTACACTTAATAAAATATTTGACTTCATTAAAATTAATAATCACAATAAATTATGTTTCGGAATTACAATTTGACGTGACTAAGAAAATGTATTATTGAAAAAAAAATAACTACTATTATTTTACTCTTTATTTAGGATTAAACATGCTTTTAAAACATAGCCCTATATATAATTAAAACAAGAGAGATAATAATAATATAATAAAAAGATGTGGGCAGGAAAGTGAAAATAACAAACTAAATGCATTCTTAATCAATGTGATAATAAAAGACAGCTGCCGAAAACTAGAATTGAAAAACTGAGATATGTTGAAATTGAAGGTTTGAGCCTCTAGGAGGTTTAAAGAATTAGATACAGTAACATTATAAGATGAATTTGTGACTTTAGATCATAGAAATCGAAACACACGAATTATCAGTACTCATCGAATTTATTTTTAGTGAGATACAAATGAAATGAATGTTTAAGAAGAGCTGTGTCAGTGTGTTGCGGTGATCGGCGTATTAATGAGAAAGAAAGTCGTTGGATGTGGCGGTGGAAAGAAACAAAACGAGACAAGAAGAAAACCAAAGGTTAAAGGCCTAAAGCAGTTAAAAGGAGAAATGTCTCTATTTGTCGACGTGTTGGCATCTGAAAGGACGAGTGCCGTCAGATCAGCAGGGGGGAAGTCAGAGTGAGGGACGCGTGTCGACTCCTGAATGGCTAACTAGCTCGCCACTCAAACAATTCAAAAGACAGACTCAAACCCTACCACAGTCCACAGCCCATGTTCCCGCATCCACGAGAGAGGAGAGGGACGACGGCCCGTAACGAGCACAAGTTCTCTGCATGAAAAGAAAACTCACAGTTTTCCAGACACGTCGAGCATTGGAAATTAATATGCGAGTGAAGTAAAATGAGGAGGACTAGTTCATGAAAGATTCTCTGGGTTCGTACATATGATATGAGAGAGAGAGAGAGAGGTGACAGAAAGAGATACACAGTGGGGGCCGGATAAGCGACACATATATGGGTGTTGCTCAACTTTCAGGCATGGATCCTCCCCTATCATGCTCTCTCTCTCTCTCTCTCTCTGTGTACCTAATTAGCATCTTTTTTCCCTCCAATTCATTACTTCTTCGTTCTATTTTTATCAATATTGCTACGCTCTCCTGGCCTCTTAACTTTGTGATCAAATAACTAAGTCAAATGGTTTTATTATTCCTCATGAAGCTAGATACATAAATAATTTATGTAAAGAAAATGAATTGCTAATATAAAAAATAAATAACTGATGTAAATAGAGTGAAAATGTTAATTAAAATTATGTTAGGTCAATGGAGCTAAGTAAAATTTTCTCTCTAGCTTAAGCTATCATGCGTTATTTCTTTTTAATAAGTTTGAATTTTTTTTAAATAGAAACTATTAGAATGGAAAAAATTTACAATTCCGTTTGATAATATTTGAATTCCACTTAACGTACATTGTTTTATACCCTACGAGACATAAATCCTCAACTTGGCTATAGGAGGATGAAGAGGAGGGAATATTTCAGGGAAAACGATAAATAAATCTCTTTAAAATAGGAAAAAAAATAATAATTTGATCTCAAAATATGATAATAACGCCTAAGTCTCAAAAAACCTATTTGTCATTATATTTGTTGATGAAATGACAAAAATATCCTTAATTTAAAAAAGTGTAGCAAATTAAGTTTACAAATTTAATTTTAAAATTCACAATTTTAATTTAACAAGTGACTAAAGTGGCTTGAACATTTATAAATTTCTCTTATTATTTTTTTCCAATCAGGAAAATAAAATAAAGTTTTTTTCATTTACAATTTTAATTTTAGAATTTACAACTTTTATGCAATGAACGAAAAAAAATGGTGTCAATTAATTATAAATTTCTAAATTAAAATCGTGAATAAAAGTTGTTGTATTTTTTAAAATTAAAGAATATTTTAGTTATTTTATCAAAAACTTTAATGATAATTAAATGTCCAGAGACATGAAAGACATTATTACATTTTGGAGAACTAAAATTTTATTTTTTATTTAAAAATAATTTATTTATCATTCTCTCAATATTTTAATTAAATTTATTATCTTTTGAATTAGATTTTTTTTTTTTTAGGGGCTGCTAGAGCCATACAGTGTTTGGTAAGAAAAAATGAAGAGGGTAGGAAACTTGTGAAGATCAGTGGAGTGGTGAGCGTGGGTGTCACATTCAGATGATACTGACAGGGTGGGATCCACGATTTCATTCTCAAATCACACATCATTCACCTCCCGTTCTCCCACCCTCACCTCACCATTAATAAATAATAATTTTATATATTTTTATTTTTTTAATTTAAATTTTTAAATATTTATTTAAAGTTAATAGAATTTAATTAAATATTATTTAATTTTATTAGTCAATATTTAATTTTGAGATTTTAACTAACTAAATTTTTAATTTTAAAATATAAATAATATCTTTAATATTTTTTGCACAAGTACTGTTTAATTTTAATTTTATTTGTACAGATATTTTAAATTTAATTTAAAAAATATTGATAAAAAATATATTAGATAAGAAGAATATGGGCATGCTTGGAGATCAAATTAAGAATTAAATTTTAAAAATTTTGTTTATATTTATCTTGGGTATTTTAGTGTAGTTTGCATTTAGAGTTATTTAAGATAGTTTTATTTTTTTATTAAATTATTAAGTTTCAAGTTGGAAGAGGCCTACGAACACAGCACAGTACATATATATAAAGCAAGCCGCACGCACAGGGAGAAGGATCCATTCAATATAAAAAAAGGAATAGCACGCAAAGGAGGACGCACAGAAGGAGAAAAATTACGATTTTTTTGACGGAGAAGAGAAGAAAGGACAGCGATCGCAGTTCAATTTTTTTCCTTCAATACAGGCGATGGCCTCTCTTATTTTTATCTCATATTATTTGATTTTTAATTTTATGGATAGCTAATTTTTTTTGGTGTGATTAATCATAAACCATGATTCTAAATTTTAATCAGAGTCCTTAATATTTAGAGAAGATTTTATTCTAGCTTTATTTCAATTTGCTCTTCTTCTTCCTACCTCTAAATGTTATGCTTTAATTGCTATTGTTGATTGGAGCAGTTTTATTACATAATTTTTGAGTTATAAATTTTATCTGAGATTTTACTTATTATAATCGATTGATATAACATTGTAAGAGTAATTTAGCTGGCTTGGGTGATTATCCATGCTTTGTTTTTGGTATGGCTAACATAGAACAGTTGTTAAGTTGTGGGTTAAAGGAGATCTCAATTAATCTATAACTTAATCTCTTGTTTAATTCTTGAATGATAATTTGACAAATATATAATAAAATCAGAATAATAAAGGTAAATAAATTAATTTAAATTGTGGGCAAGGAAGATTAAATTTAGGTGATTGAATTGTGATTGATTGCACTGCTTGTTCTTGATAATTTTCTCAATTAAATTTTCTTTATTTATCTAATTTTAATTTAGATTTTTTTAATTTCATTATAAAACCTCCTATTTTTTAGCTTTTCATAATCATAATTCAAATAGTTACTCTATTGACTTTTAGAGAGACGACTTAGGTTGCGCTTTACTGCAAAATTTAATTTTTATTAATTTTAGTGCTATTCGACAGTAGTGTCAACCATCAACTATTTTTTTTGTCTCAATGAAACACTGAAATTCATTACTAATCAAACCAAAACAAGAGTCCAAGCACACCATCTACTAATTA